AAGCTTTTTGCGGTGAAAATAATAGTTTTCAAATTCTGAAACATGGTTTTCAAATATTTTCAAATTATTTTCAAAATAATGGCGGAGGTTTGGAGTAAATTGGACAATGTGGGGGGGCCAACTTCACACGCGTCGGTGACATCCTCTTGGTTGCCACACATTGCAATGGTAGCGGTGGTGGTGGCGGTTACGGCAACACAATTTTACCGCCACCGGGGCGGCAACGTCAAGACAAAAGAATTTTACCGTCACCGGTACAGTGTGTGGTGACCTTAAAAGCTATTAAAAAAAAAAAAATTCAATGCAATAAAAATTTGATAGTTTTAATAAATAGGTACTATCAAAAGTTTAAATAGTTATAACTTTATAAGTAAGCACCTACATATATTAGAATTAGATACTTAACTTACGAGGTATTTATTAATAATGAAGATAATGTTTTGGATTTTCAAAAACAAATAACTGTAGATACTTGAAAACTTTTCACAAATTTATATTTATTCGTATAGTATTGTTTAAATACAAGAAAAAAAATTCAAAATATTTAGATTAACTTGAAGCAATTTATACCACGAAGCTATTCGAATAACAATCGTCGTAACACTACGGTTCTACACAGTACCTTTATTAACTATATAAGTTAACAACAGATCGAAATACCTAGTATGAATATATCATATGAAAATTAAATAATATTAGAACATAATATAATTCATGCAATTTTTTTTGGCAATAATTATTCCAATCTTCCACAAGTAGTACCTATTATATGTATAATATATACTACTATCAATATAAAAATAAACTACTAGTATAATATTATACTATTAATTAATATAAATATACACCATAGGGTGTAATAATAATAATATTGTTATTCCTATATTATATTATATATTTTTGTGACAGGTATGTAGTTTCACTAAAATAAAATATTTTCTTATATACATATATTATATGTACCTATATCTACTATACAAGAGGTCTTCAGTTTCCTTTTAGAATCGTATTCCGTACAACAATAATGTTTTAATTATTTTTAATTATTATGACTTGAAATTCATTTATAAGTATTTTATAGAAATAATAAACTTTTATTTAAAAAAAAAATGTATTTCAGAATCGTCTAATATTAATAATACAACAGAAGAGATTGCAAGCTGTTCTTATAAACCTGAAATTCAGTTTATCGATGACGAAGAAAATGCAATTTTGGAATCAGATACAGATTGTTCCAGAAGCGTATTTTAGGGGGGTGTCCTCCATGTCTTGACACCCCCCGACATTTAAAAAAAGTCCTAATATATTGGACATTAGTGTTGTCACTTATTTTATAGTATAYTATTTTTATCAAATGTWAAACTTCTTGTCAATTCCTAACATATTAATTTGTTAAAAAATTAATTCAATGTCTTTTTACAWTAGTAAATARWACTAAAAATTTTGTTTGTGAGGTTCAATAAATGTTGACACCCCCCGAGAAATCACCCAAAATACGCCACTGGATTGTTCGGATGAAGAACTACCTTTTTGTCATTATGCTGAAGTAGATACAGATTCTGTAGAAACTAAATTAGCATTATGGAGCATTAAACATAATATAACACATGCTGCAATTTCCGATTTATTAAAAATTATTCAGTCTAGTTACGACCCTTCCCTTCCGGGTGATGCTAGAACTTTGTTGAAAACTAAAATTTCAAGTTTAAAAATTCCACTGTAAGAAATAGCACCTGGGCAATACTAGGTACCATTTTGGTGTGCGCAATGGTATTATACAAAATTATAATATTGATGACACCATGGATGTAATTAAATTAGTTGTTGGAATCGATGGTCTTCCATTAACTAAAAGCTCAAAAAGCACTTTTTGGCCAATTTTATGCTATATAAGACCCTATTATAATAATKTATTTCCGATTGGGCTATATTGGGGAAATGAAAAACCAAATAACAGCAATGATTTTTTAGACGATTTTTTTAAAGAAATAAGAAATTTAATATCAAATGGAATTAAAATATTAAATAAGTCTGGTGTATTATGTGAAAAAAAAGTAGTTTTAGATGTTTTTGCATGTGATGTTCCTGCAAAATCGTTTGTGTTGAAAACTAAAGGTCACACCGGATACTTTTCTTGTTCTCGCTGTATGGTTGAAGGAAATTCTAAAAACCATAGAATATGTTTTCCAGATTTGAATTGTATAAAAAGAACACATGAAAATTTCATTTCAAGAGAAAATGAGGAACACCATACCAATTGCTCTACTCTTTCTATTTTAACTGAAATTCCTGGAATAGATATAATTAAATCATTTTCCCTAGATTATATGCACCTAGTTTGTCTAGGTGTAACAAGAAAATTAATTAATCTATGGTTAAAAGGACCGTTGACTAATAGAATCGGTAACAGAAATWGCACTACTCTTAGTTTTTTATTATTATCGTTTAAAAAGTATATGCCTAAAGACTTCCAGCGGAAACCACGAGGTGTTGACAGTTGTATTGTATTCTGTGAAAAATTTGTATCTGAGTGTACTATTTCATTCTGTTTTTTTGTTAGTACCTAGTGGTTTCTGAGATTTTTCTTGTACTTTTTATTTTGTAAGTTGAAAGTGAATGGTTTTGATGTTGTAGTGTGTTCATGCTTGCATTTATTAATTTAATTGTACCATCAAGTGATTGGATATGTAATTTTAAAAAATCGTCAATACGCATTGGCATGTTGTTAACATGTTTCAAAACTCTGTTTTTCAAATCATTGAATTGGCTTTCAATCGGTGCACTTGATGGTGGTATATCACCATATTTAAATGAAGAACACATAACACTAGACCACAAAGGAATATATGTGCATTAATTAATTACCAGAGTTGCAACAGATGGTAAAAAATACATGTTATCGTGATCTCTAACTTCATCATCCACTTGATATTTTCATTGATCAGAGATTTGTTTTGTCATTTCATAAAATGGATTTTCTGTGTCAGTAAGTGTAGTGAGATCTTCGAAACTATACTCATTTGCGATGTTTTCGTTAATGTCATTAAAATATTGTTCAGCTACTCCTGAGGCAATCCTTTGCCGAAGAAATCGTCGTCCATTTTCACTAGCAGTTGAAATCCCATTTTCTAAACTACCATCAGTCTTACTGTAAATTAGACAAAAGAAATGTTGTAAAAGTAGTTGCATATCTTCTAAATCATTTGTGCTATGGAACGGACTAAGAAGTCTTTCACTCTTTTGTCCACCGACTGAAGAGGCTTCSAAGTGGTTACAAGCTTAATCACATGAGCGACATCACATCTAACTAAACATGTTGGCAAATCTATTTTGGAGTTCATTAATAGTTTGAAACATGCACGCATATAACTCTTTAAATTATTGTGTTGAGTAAATGCCCTCACTACAGCCGTCATCAATGCTAAAGACATATCAGTTATAACTTGTTTTGGGCAAGGAGCTCCGTCCCGAATCCACTCTATAAGCCAATAATATATTGAGTTATTATCATGTCTCTCTGAAAGCATGTGGCTTACCGAATACTGTTTTGTTATATTTTTATCGTGCACTGCTATTTCATACAATAAAATACTTTTAGTTTTCCTATTTGTTATAGAAGCTGGTTTTTTTACCAAACGCCGGTAGCATCGATACATATCGTTGTTATCTTGTTATGTTTTGCATACTGTCTATAAACGTTCATTTCAAGAGCAGTCCAATAATGAACGAAAAAACGATCATATCCAATGTCTTTAATTATGTTTAAGTATGGATGAATATGCTTCATTTTACAAAGAGCTAAAATGGGATCATGATCCTCTCGCTGATCTGATATAGCTCTGCATTTCATTATCCTCAGTGCATTTGCTGTTGGTAAATAACTGGGTTCGTCATCATCAAATTCCATCAAAGCATTTGCTTCACATCTTCGAAGCATAGCGGCTGACATATTTTCATTAACTAATTTATCGACGTAATACTGTTTTTTTCTAAACGTTGTTTTACGTTTTTTGTTATCAACGCATTGCCGAAAATTGCCACTATAGGTACAATGGAAAATTGCCCTACTATTATTTGAAGGTTTTTCAAGGAGTGTACCTTTAAGTTTACTGTGGCATGATTTGCATTCTCCGTAAAACTCACAATAATTTATCCCAGATTCATAAATCTTAGCTTTT